AAAAATTTTCTCCCAATTTTCTGTTTTCCTTCTAATCTTGGCTACATTGGTTTTATTTGTACAAAAACTTTTTAATGTAATCAAAATTATCCATTTTACACCTCACAATGCTCTCTATCACTTGCTTATTCATAAATTGTTCCCTATCCATAAATCTGATGGGTAATTTGTTCCATGTTCTAATTTTCTTATGCTATTTCCCTTTGTATCTACATCATGTATCCATTTTGACTTTATATTGTAAGATATTGGTGTATGCCCAGTTTCCGCCAGGCTGCTTTCTAGCTTTCTCAGTAATTTTTATCAAACAATGAATTTTTATCTCAAAAGATTAAATTTTATATCTGTCAAACACAAGGTTATGATAATTATTTGCTACTGTGTATTGTATGTCTACTCTGTTCCACTGATCTACCTTTCTACTTCTTAGTCAGTACCAGATGTTGTTGACAATTACTGCCTTAGAGTATATTTAAGATCTGGAACTGCTAAACCTCCTTCCTTTACTTTCTTAATACCATTAATTCCTTTGATATTCTTGACCTTTGTTCTCCCAAATGAATTTTGTTGTGCTTTTTTTTCCTAGTTCAGTAAAATAATTTTTTGGTAATTGAATTGGGATGGGTTCAAATAATAGATTAGTTTAGGTAAAATTGTCTGCCTATCCATGGACAATTAATATTTCTTCTATTATTTAAATCTGACTTCATTTGTATAAAACCTGTTTTTATAATTATGTTTCAGTAGGTACATTCCAGGTGTTCTATACTATCTACAGTTATTCTGAATGGGGTATCTCTTACTATTTCTTCATGTAGGGTTTTGTTGGTGACACATAAAAATGCTGATGATTTATGTAGGTTTATTTTATATCCTGCTACTTTGCAAAAATGTTTGTTTTCGCTAATTTTTTAGTTGAAACTTTAGGATTTTCCAAGTATATCATCATATTGTCTATAAAAAGAGATGGTTTTATTACCTCATTGCCCATTCTGATTCCTTCAATTTATTTTTCTTCTCTTACTGCTATTCCTAGCATTTCTAATACAATCTTGAATAACATTGGTGACAATGGACATCCTTGTTTCTCTTCTGATCTTATTGAGAAGGCTTCTGGCTTATCCCACATTAGAAATAATGCTTGCCGATGGTTTTAGGTAGATTTTTTTAATCATTTTAAGGAAAAATCAACACAATGCTTTCAGTGAAATTATATTTTGATAAAGGTTATCATAGACTATGAAGTAATATGAAAATGTTTACAGCAAGCTTCTCTGATAAAGGCCTCTTTTCTCAAATATATAGGGAACTCAAATTTATAAAAATAAGAGCCAATCCCCAATTAATAAATTGTCAAGGTATATGAAGATGCAGTTTTCAGAAGAAAAAAATCAAAGCTATCTATAGCCAAATGAAAAAATGCACTAAATTACTATTGATTTGAGAAATGCAAATTAAAACAACTCTGAGATACCACCCCATAGCTATAAGAAATGACATATGCTGGAAGGGATGAAGGAAAATAGGTACACTAATAAACTGTTGGTGGAGCTGTAAACTGGTTCAAACATTCTGGAGAACAATTTTTATAGCTCAAATGGCTATAAAATTGTGCATACGATTTGACCCAGTAATATCACTACTAGGTCTGTATCCCAAAGAGATTAAATAGGAAAAGGACTTACGTGTACAAAAGTATTTATAGCAACTCTTTCTGTAGTAGCAAAGAATTGGAAATTGAGGGGATGCATATCAATTGGTGAATGACTGAACAAGTTGTGGCACATGATTGTGATGGAGTACTATTGTGCCATAAGAAATGACGAGGGGAATAGTTTCAGAAAAACATGGAAAGACTTATATGAACTAATGCAAAGTGAAGTTAGCAGAACTGTTACTGTGCACAGCAATAGCAATGTTATAATGATGATCAGTTGTGACAAACTTAACTACTCTGATCAATATACAATGATCCAAAACAATTCCAAAGGAATCATGATGAAAGATGCTACCCACCTCCAGAGAAAGAGCTCATGAACTCTGAGTGCAAATTGAATTACAGTTTTCTCACTTTCTTTACTTTTCTTGCTTTTTGTGATATGCTGCATGATTTCATATGTATAATTGATATCATATTGTTTGTCATCTCTCCATTGGAGGAGTAGGAAGGAGAGAGAATTTGGAACTCAAAATTTTAAAAAGAGAGACTGCTAAAAATAAAAATAAATATTTAAAAAATATTTACTTTCTCTCATCAAATGAGGGAAAGGGAATGAGATGGGGGATTAGACATAGTGATACCAAGAAAGGGCCATTATAAATAACTTTTTTTAATTCATAGAAGAAAAAAGGAAGTTTAGAAGGAAGCACAAGACAGTTTTGAAAGTAACATGTAGAACTCATTATATACTTTTTAAAAAGCAAGTCTTCTGAAATGAAGATTCACATTTTTTTATAGAACCTTCTTTTTTGTGTTTTGCTTTGTATATGGAAATGTGCTCTTATTTTTGATATTTAAGTTCAGAATAAAAAAAATTGAGTTTTTTAAAATTGATCTGAGTGACTTTAAATTTTGTTTTGTCCACCACAGAATGCTTCTTTATGTCAGATAAAGTCTCTCAACTTGATCTTCTTCATAATGAAAATAGTACTGAATTTGTAGTCAGAAAATCTGTTTGATTTTGACATTGCTGTTTATCTGTGTTACCTTAGCATGTCAACCTCTCGGGGACTAACTTTTCTCATCTATAAAATGAAGAGTTTAGACTCAGTGATCTCTAAAGTTCTTTCTTATTCTAAATTTTTGATTTAGGAACAACAATATAAAAGTCTTATCAGGTCATGTGATCAGCATAGTGGCTTATTCACATTCTCCAAACTCCATTAATCCTCCAACAACCTCCCAACCCAAAATAAAACAATTACAAGCCAGATATACAATATTTACAGCTAAAGCCACATGGGAAGACAGAACCCCTACTCAGAACTTTAATACTTTTGGCACTCAGTATCCCTCCCACTGCAGCCTGGATGAACTAAGAACACAAGAAAAAGAGGAGGTTTTTGCCTAGGGCCTAATCTTGAATTTTTCACAGCTGCACTGACTTTGTCCAAACACGATTCAGCTTCACTCCACCTTTCAAGAAATAGCAGGTGCTGGTTCTGTGAGCCTTTGAAAGATGAGAGGATTTGGGAGAGGTCACAGCATGAGCCCAAAGGAAAAGGGACTGAAACCCATCTGAGTCCAATCTTGTCCACAAGAGGTTTCAAAGTTAGAGGGTCAGTATGAGGAAGCTTATAATACACCACTTCAAGTTTAGAGTGATAGAAGAGCTAGTGATAGGATTGCCAAAAGAAAAAGAAAAGAGGTCTATTGAAATATTTTTTCAAAAGAACAAAAGGAAGGTCAGAAGGAAACACAAACAAGTACAACTGAACTTATAAGAAAAAAGCAAACTATACATAATAGAGATTTGCATTTTCTTGTAAAATCCTCTTTTCTATTTTGAATATGGATATTTATTTGTATATGCACATTGTTGTTTTAATTGGGGTTTATTAAATTCAGAATAAAAATAAAATTTAGAAAGAACACATGAATTCTACAAAGGTAGGAGCTAGACCTGTGATTTCATTGGTAGCTCTCCCTGAGGAAACTTCCTCAGCAACTTCTCAACTTTCAGTCTTAAAGAGTTGAATAAATCATTGAGAGATTAAGTTAATTACCCAGAGTCACATAGCCAGTATGTATCAGAGGCTAAGTTGAACTCAGGTCTTCCTGTCTTCAAAACCAGCTCTCTATCTATTACAACACACTGACTCTCTCTAAAAACTAAAAACAATGACCAATTAAAAAAAAAAGGTTCCAAATAGACAGTTCCAAGAGAAGAATTAGAAACTATTAACAACCATATGAAAGAATGTTCCAAATCACTAATAAAGAAGAGAAATTCCAAGTCAAAGTATAAACCTCATACCCACAAAATTAGAAAGGATGACAAGAAGGTTAGCAATGTTGTAGAGGTTCTGGAAATATGGGCACATTATTTTAAGAAAGTGATCAAATTGTCCATTCTCATTAATCCAAAGATCTCACTGCTAGGCATGTGCCACAAGGAGGTCAATGATTTTCTTTTAAAGCCTTATATTATCCAGAGTTCTCTAAAGATCGCTTTTTTTGTAATAGTAAAGAACTAGAAACAAAGTATATGTTCATTGATTGGGGAATAGCTAAAAAAAATTATGGCACATGAATGTAAAGGATATCACTATCTAGTAAGAAAGAATGAAAAAACAGAAAAGCACAAGAAGACTTATTTGAACTTATGCACAGTGAAGCAAATGGAACCAAAACAATACTTA